ATGAGCTTATCCACACAATTTCTAAGGTTAGCTTTTACTATTGTCAAAACACTTAAAAGTCTGACAGCACTCTAAAGTGCCTAATGTCTAGATTTGCTTCTCAGGGGCAGACACTTAGTCAAATATTGGGGGGGGGGCAAGCCTATTGTTTTAATAAGATGACATCACAATTCCCATTGTTTTGGAACAAAAGACCATTGTCCTCTAAAGTATTGGAGGTCACCCCCCCAGGTGTCCACCACCTCACCCACTGATGCTTCTATCGAATCTAAAATAAACCATATTTTGAATTTTTTGCTTACTTCTTGATGGAAATTTTAAACAGTAATTGTAGTAGTTAATGCAAAACTCTGTTTGATTCAAAAACTGAAATAATCTTGCATCTCCTTCTAGGGCAAAGATCAACATCCATTTCTGGAAAATGAACACAGAATGGGTTTTGGCAACATACATGAACAATCAAAATAACTTAACAACAGTAAGGTTCATACTCTTTTAGCATTAGTTTACTGACATTGTTTTTTGTGCTTCAAAATAAGCAATCTGAAGGGTGAATTAAATTTACCATAAAAGATTACCTCAAAATAGATATGAAAATGTATTAATGCCAGTCACGAATCACGATGATATGCTTGTTTTTATGCTTTAAACTGAAAATCTGAGCAGTGAATTTAAATAATCATATAAACAGTACAAGAACACATCAAACAAAAAATTAAAATTTATGAATATCAGTCACAATAACAGGTATCAAACTAGCTTTTTCCAAATTATCATTCCTTGGCTGTTTAATGTCTGTGTTGTGTCTGGTTGACAGCCTTCTCTGGTTTGAGTTCCTTTTGGAAACACGTCTAGATATTTCTTTATAACTGTTCCTTGCCATGCAATAAGTATATAAACTGTGAGAATCTTAGTAAGAACAAACTGGGTTAAGAGTCACAAACCCTGTGGCACATATTGATCATATTGGAGGTACTGATAACTGCATGCCTTGATATTTCAAAATATTATTCATTACATGGTTTTGTGCCATTTTTGGTTAAAAAGACTAGATCCATTTCATATACTAAAATCCTTTTTTCAAACAATTGATACAAAGAAACTGAGCAAATGACTCTACAAAAAACTTTTGGAACCAAGTCCTGTCTTCCTCTGCAGATAATTTTAGTACCATAAATAAGGGTTAATTAAATAAGGGCATAATATTTTCCTTATTAAATAGAAGGTTTAATTTAATCCAAAAGGGTAAAATTTTCAGTGTAGTTTACAGAGTGACAGTTCTGTCTCCCCTGACTATGAATTAGAGGGACCTACTGGTTACCAGACAGCCATTTTCCTAAATTGAAGTAGAATCATTTATTCTGTCCTTCTTCCCTCCCACCATAGTCCTTGCCATTTCCCTTTTGCTTTGTAGTATCCCATACTGGGTTGTCAATTAGTTTCTTGGGCTCATACCTCCAAACACCACCAAAGACACGCCAATCAAAAATTTGTGGAACCTTACATTTACCAGAATATTTGTCCAGATTACCATCAGAAATTGCATTGCCTTCTCTCAAGGTCCACAGAAGTCTCATGTCTTTTGGATAGCTGCCATGTACTCCAATATATCTTGTGCACACTTTTTTGAAGCGTTCAGGGACATCACCAAATTCCCGTAAAGGTGGGTGATGATGGAGTCTTGGGTCATGATTATAAAGAGATTGTATATTCAACTCTTGAACCCATGTTGCTATCATTTGATCAGCCCATGGATGACCTTTGATAACATTTGGATCTTGTTTAAGGAACTTCTTGATTAGGTCATTGGAAAGAAGTATAATGCTTTCTTCTGGTCTGACTATGTTTGACAAACAATGCACATATCCCCAATGGTATAATTTGCGCATTGGTAAGGGCAGCTCGTGGAGAAACCTTTCTAGGCAAAAAAAGTAATCATCATCCATTCTCATGAAATAATCAAACTTATAATTTTTCATTGCCCAAATCATGTGGTACAAAAACCTCCTTCCGAATTCCACACCACCTTTTAGCTTTTGGAATGCAATATCTTTATGTGTTTTTTCTTCCTCTAAAAGTTCCCTACCAGTTTTTGTTGAAGGTTCAAAGTAGTCTGTCATAAATACACATGTAACTTTGACCTGCAAAAAAATTAAAAAGAATTTCATTATGTTGAATATTACTTAACACTGAAGTCGCAAAGCAGAACTTAATAGTTATGTTATCACTGTTATCATCTTGTTATCACTTACGATAGTCAAGGGCCTAAGGTGAAAAATTTCCAAAACAAAATTAAGAGGTGAAGGGGTTTTCATTGCTACTGATTTTGGCAGGAAAATAATGCGCCATCTCAATTGCTTTCTGGAATGAAAATTAATTTTAAGGATTATTCTATTGTTTTGAGAACAAAAAATACTGGGGAAACGTTGAAACCAATATACAGAAATATTCTGAAAAAAATTATCAGAGCATTGATAAACCAGATAAAATAAAGGCAATTTTGAAGAAGCACAACACACTTCGTTCATATTTAAAACTGGAAACATTTACAGATAAATGATATTGAAACGATGAACATCGTTTAAAAATAATGTTTATAGACAGGGCAAATAGCCTGACAATCTGACATTCAAGCTAGTGTTTGTTTTCTCAACAGATTCTTGTAGTAGGGAGACCAGGCTTTCATAATCTGCCAGGTGACCTTTTGGAAAATGCCTGGATGTCATGTGACTGATGACGTCATTTAACGGTAAAAATCAGACAAAATCATCGCTAGCTCTTTACTGGAGGGTTATTTTTTGAAACAAATCAATTGATAAATTGATGTATATTGAAGCATAATTTGCCGACATAAGTATTTTCATTATGATGTCATCAAAAGTTTTGCATGACGTCATCAAAGATCTAATAGTCAAAAAATGACACGTTGGTATAATTTTATTTTATTATGACCCTAGATGTCAGCAAAAGCATTTCTTCCCTTACTTTTTCAATCAAATAATTAGTATTTAGATGATTTAAATTAAATTTGTGCGAACCGCAATAACCAAGGAGGTTTGAATAAGGTAGTCGTCACTATCTGACAAGCAACTAACAAAGTTCCAGAATGATTTTGCATGCTAACTCGAAAATATGCAAAAGTAGTTGTTGATGCAAAGGATACTCGTGTATGTGTGCTGCGTGTTCATCCAACACAGAAGTGCAAACCAAAAATCGAGTGGCTTATGGGCATAAACAACAAACGATTAATAATGGAAACTTTTCATTTTCAATTCAAATAAAACAGCAATTACAAATTTCATTTTTACAAAGGTAATTCGCAATCGGCTAGCCTTGATTTACAAAGAAAGACAATTACAAGTATAAACAAAAGAAATTCACAAAAAGGGTAAATATTTGTTCGTCATTGTTTGTTTTAGAAGTTGTCAGTAGCAGAGGTCGTTAAATAGGTAGTACGGATAGTAAAGTTAGATAGGTCACGAAGCGGAGATGATTTTCGCTGATATCTAGAGCGTTTCGCATGTCGATAGAAAAGGGGCAGGAGAGACCAAGGAAACTGATAGAACGATAAACAAAGATGAAAGAAGATAGGCCCAGATTAGGATGTTAACGAGATGCGAGTATTTCTCTTATTTGCGGTTAGCATTAACATCCAAGTTAGTTTCGTATCCTACTGTTAGCTCGAGTATGAATAGGCGAAGGTCAGAAGTAACTAGAAGTAGATCAGGGCGGAAAGAGTCTCCTGTTATGATAGAGGGTGAGAGATAACCTGGAAGGTCTGCGTAAAGAGAGCAATTAGGTATAGCTTTTTAAGACTGTGCTAGGAAATTTAATGCAGAGTTATGGCGCCATGTGAAACGGCCTTCTTCGAGGTATATTTTGCAGCCTGCAACAATGTAACAAACGTTTCCGGCATATGGCAAAAAGTGCAATCGGACGACTGAGTAATGTTCCATTTAGATAGGTTTTTCGCGTGGCATGGGTGTTTCTTTGGTGTTTGATAGTAAAATTTTAAATGTTCTTGGGCATGTTGCTTTGAACCGTGGTCCATATTTTAAGGGCTATAGGAAGAGAGTGGTCAAAGATGAAGGAAAGAACGGTACCTTGAGATATAAGATGGTTTTGAAGGCGCTCTTTATGTTCTGCTCAAACTGACCGAACTGGTATTTTGACAGAATAATGCCTCTTAAGGCAGCACTTATGGGTAAATCGAGCCAACGGCGGATAAATGCAGAAACTTGATTATCAAGATTTTCGACGATCCCGGTTTTTGATAGATCGGCTACTGCGAGGTACCACGAAACTTGTGAGAGAAAATAGCTCTTATAAAGAAGCAGCTTATTCTTTGGATGGAGAGGTGAAGAATCAATTTGCGTTAGGAGTTCTATATTATTATAATATTAGATTATTAATATAATAATAATAATAATATTTGAGGTATCGCTGAAACTTTTGGTTCCAAAATTTGCTGTCAAAATTTGCTTCTCCCACAGATTCACGGAACTATGGGCTGAGATACAACTGCATACAAGCACAAAAATGATAAGGTTACTGTGAAAAAGCTAACAATGAACGATAAACAATGTGCGCTTAAACAAGTCATCATTAAAAGTCTCTCAGTAAGAGTTATTGCAGACGCATTTATCAAATCTGAAAACAAAATCATTTGCAACACTTCCATTAGATCCACAATCATTTGAAGTCCAAATGGTTCACAGGAAAGCAGCTTCCCCATCTCCAAAAAAGTCAAAAGGACATTTAAGGTGTGAAGAGACAGCTTGCTTTGCAGCACAAGGATATGAAGATGACCCAGAAGATGAATTTACCCATGAAGAAAATTATGCACCTTCATACCCTATGCTAATACCTATTAAGCGAAGACATCTTGGATAGCCTATAATAGTGCGAAGACATTCTTCTGACTCAGTGCAAAAGTCAAATGCAGATGCAGAGAACTTATTGCCCGGTTCAGGGTGGGACCATGACTGTAAACCAGACAATAATGACTTCGGAGGAAAAAGTGACTGAATCGCCAGATGGTGACGACTACCTTATTCGAACGCACAAATTTAATTCCTTGGCTATTGCTGTTCGCACAAACTTAATAACAATCATCTAAACACTGGTTATTTGATTGAAAAAATAAGGGAAGAAATAATTTTGCTGACATCTAGCGTCATAATAAAACAAGTTATACCAACGTGTTATTTTATAAAAAATAAGATCTTTGATGACGTCATGCGAAACTTTTGATGACGTCATAATGAAAATACTCATGTCGGTAAATCATGCTTAAATATACATCATTTGAAAGCTTGCAATGAGACGAGTCAAAATATGTAATTTATGTCAAGAAATAACCCTCTAGTAAAGAGCTAGCGATGATATTGTCTGATTTTTTACCATTTAATGACGTCATCAGTCATGTGACATCCATGCATTTTCAAAAAATTCATCTGCCAGATTATGGTCTCCCTACTACAAAAATCCACTGAGAAAACAAACATTAGCTTGAATGTCAGATTGTCAGGCTATATGCCCTATCTATTAGTGATAAAAATTTTATTGTCCAAAAAAATTGACAGCTTTGATTTAAATAGTGCTATTCACAAAACTGTTCACGTTGTGAGGGAGAAAGGGAAGCAGCTGCCCCCCAATGCGCAGGAAGTTGGTGTCTGAGAAAAGTGCAAAATTGTAATAAAATAGCACCTCAGGGAGGGAAGGGGGGTTGATATTTCAGACAAAGTTAAAACGTCTTGAGCCAAAGACTGTTAGAAATATTCTGAAATGTATTTTAAGCTAATCTAAAGGTCGTGGTTGCAAAAGTGTTCAGCTTGCTTTGCACTCAGGGGTCCCTATTATCTACCTCTACAGAATATTTTTCAATATCCCCTCATTTTAGGGTCTAAAAAGAAAAGTCCTTCACATCCTTCGACATTCTTGATAAAAGGTTAAGCACTCCAATCCTTAAAAAACTTGATTCTGAAATGGTTGTAGAAGATTTTGCAACTTTTGACTAAGGGTCAGCAACAAAAATTTCCCCTGTACCCCCTGCTGTCTGACTCCTCTTTGCCCTTGCAATCTTCCAAACCTGGATATGCCACTGCTCACCTAGTGTCAATATTGAAACTTTAAAGTCCTAGATTTCTGCTAAACAATCTTCTGTAAGTAATAGTTTAGTCATCAGAGCAAAGCTTGAAGTTTCTTAACAATAATTTTTACTTAAGCAGTACATCCTTTTTAAAAAAAGCTTTATTTCATTGTCATTATTTACAAATGCTTCTCAGAAATTTTGTACAGAACTGAAACTGAAAGAAATTGTTCCACTTTGTTTTAAACTGAAACTCAGTAAGCTTGCAAATGCATTTGTTAGTCATCAACTATTGTTTCTAAGCCCTTTACCTGGTAATTTTGTTTTAGAAATTGGTCGCCTTAGGCTCTCAACCACTGTGAGCTACCATTATTGACTATCATTTCTATACTTTTGTACCCTACCTGCACATGAATTATAATAGATAATCACCAAAAACATACACAATGGCATGAGTGTTATCAAATAGTCTAAGAGCTTTATCTTAGTTCTTTCATAAGAAAATTGGGTGTGGATAAGCAACTATTCTAAAGTAACCCAAAAAGATGCAATCTTTCTTATGCCTCACCCTTTCACTGCTTTTACATTGGGTCCACCAAGTGTCCCTGATTGCTGATCTTCTGTCAATCCTTCTTGGGGCAGATGATACTATGATTAGGAGGTTTGTTTCAATTTGGACTGGTGGGTTTGGAATTTTGAATCTCTCATAAACTGGATTCTTGTCAAGTTCCAATATGGCTTTTGGTACTTCTGGTTGTGCCAATTTGGTACTAACTGTATTATCTGCTATGTTCTGCTTTTCTAAACGAGAAAGTATTCTTGGTCCAGTATGAAATTTGCTATGATAAACTTTAACATGTCCAAAAGGCAACTGAAGAAGAACAACAACACAAAGCTGCACAGCCAGTAGCACTATGAAGACTTTTTTCAAGAATGAAGATCTTTCCTGGTTTATGTCCATGATGTGCAGGTAGCCTGTAGAAAATAATGAGCTAATTATCAGAATGATTTACAAGGACTGTCTCTCCATTAAAGAGGTATTTAAGACAACTTTATTTAGGGACTAGAAAGTGACTTGAGCTTTCTAGAAACTCCTTTTAATGGAGCACCTTCTTTATGCTTAAAGCAAGGTCCCAGTGGTAGGAAATTAGATTTGACTTTTCCAGGGAGTCTCCAGTCCAGTTCATGGTACCTTTTTCAGGAAGGGCCTTGTGGATAGGGACCTTTTTCAGCAAAAGAATTTAGCAAAATTTAGTTGAGTTTTTCCTTTCTTCAGCAGCATTGTAATGCTATAAAAAAAATTTAAATTGAAACCGATGAAAAACCAATTTAATGCTCAGTATGTTTCCTTCAGTCGTGCAAAACCCCCTACAAAATTTACATTTAACAATCTCTAAAATGCACTGATTGCAAATTCGTAAGATGCCTAATCCCATTTGTCAACCAATTTTGAGAGTCCACCCCAAAAATTTCACTATTCATCTATTTATCAAAACCATCATGTTTGTTGTTATAAGCTCTTGCATTACTTTGCAATGATGCAATTTTCCTGATATACTTGTAATAAATAATTTCTAAACAGAGTTACATTGGCAGTGTATTCACTTAGATGAGCTATTACTGCATGAGGCCTGTTTGTGATAGGGACTCTGTAAATTGCAACTCCTTCTTAGTCACTTTTTATACAAATATTCTGAATGTATTTGGAAAAAAATTTGCAAGCTTGCTGATCAGTCATCAGCTAATGTTGCTCTCATTTCAAAATTGCAATTAAGGTAAAAGATATAGATTACATCTCTACAAAGTACAACATTTTTCATTAAAATTTGAAGAAATACATCTCTATTTTGCTACACTTCTATAGCAACATAAAGTACTTTTTCTTAAGGCCTAATTAGTGAGAAATTTAACCCATGGTCACACCATTGTAAAAATTGAAATAGGCCGGGCAGTGCCTGATGGTGGGAGGAAAATGTTTGGGCTGCTATGTGGTCTCTAAGCCTGAAGCCCATGAAATCAGGAGGAGAATGGAGATCCCTTTGCAATTTATCAGGATCTGGTACCCAGGGTGTTATCTCAAGGCATGGGTGGATCTCAAATTAATCCTGATATGATATGGGAGAAGATTTTTTGTTCACCACACCCTCTATTTTTTCTGTAACATCTACTTTGGGTACACAGCTGTTACACCCTGTTACAAACATTTTTGTAGCTTGTCTTCACAATTCCTAAATTATTTGATACTTCCAAATCTTCTACTTTATTAGAGCTGGTCTGTAATTTATTGAAGTCACAAGACACTGAACTAGCTATCTGATAATATAGCATCACTTAACATGTGGATATATGGGAAACGTTACCAATATGGGGGCAGCGCCTTATACTGGGGGAAACGTTACCAATATGGTTGATCTATTCATTTCTCTTCCTGTAGCTAGGCCTTATTGAAAAAGAGGATTGTTGCTCGGATTAGGAAGATTGCTAAATAAAATTTAAAAAAAAACAATTTATTTTTTGTAGAATGCGTGAGAATTCTAGTTTGATGCGTGTGAGTGTGAGAAAAGGGCTGATAATAACATGAAGATAAAATTGTTAACGCTAAGAGAAGACAATCAATCGATATTTTGGGCATCTACATTATAGATACGGACAAAATTTTACGTTATTAATTTCAGATAAAAGAAAAACAAAACAAGCCTTTAACTAGCATATCAAGGCTTAAGGACAGCGATAACAGAAAAGCGATGTGCAAATCTCACCTTCACATTTCACGCTTCCAGAGTTAGCATCGCTTTGTGTATTCTTTGATGTGGAAATGCGCCGTCGTTGAGAAAATGCGCCGTCGTGGCCAATTTTCTCCTTCGCATCAGACCTCTGTGCTCCTGCGATTCGGTTGAGTTTTTTGAGAATTTTTCCGTTGTTCGTCCAGAAGCTTTAAACCATAAACTGACTGGTTTTAATGTCTGCTATTTATTTCCATTTCATTGAATTCTTCATAGCAGGGCTAAAGTGAAAAAAATGTAGTCTACTATGCTGTAAACGATTGTGCTAAGTATTTCCTTAAATATGAATCTAGGTTGAGCTTCGGTGCTTTTTACCAAAGAAGAGAGAGAAATTGTTGAAAATGGGAACTTGATCGAAGAAATCGATCATTATCCAAGTTGTGCTTTGCTTAGGAAATAGATGGAGAAACCCGATACAAAACAACTTGGTGCCAACGCCAAATGATGGAGTTTCGTTTTTTCTTTAGCTTAAAATATGGCACCCAAGAACTATTTGTTAAAGGAAATTTCCCATAAACGTTACAAATCAGCCCTTTAAGGAAAAGAAACTGCTGTAAAGAAATTTTATTAAGAATATGAAAAATGATCATCAGATTTGTTCGCTGAATCGCGAGCTAAATTCTAAGCGGAGGAGCGCGGCCCTGGACGGAATGTCTTCGTAAACAACTGCTACGCAGGCGCTTCAAGTGCCACATTTTGTTTCTCTACCACCAATCGCAAAGTTGTACAAAACGGCAAGAAAACTGAAGTCGTCAAAAAGGTTAATTTTGACTCATCAAATGTTTGCATGGTATGTTTTTTCTTCCTAAACCTAATGAAATTCCTGTTTAAAGCCTCAAGAAGTAGTTTGCACCAGAAGCGAATTATGACCTTATGTCGTCAGGGCACTCAGCTCGAAAACCTTCTTGGTTCTCTCAGTGTCCTGGGTAACGTATCTACAAACAATTTTATTAGATAAATCATATTGTATCGGTCAATCTTTGTATCTTTTATTTATATATCTTTGGTTAACTTGTACTCGATAAATTGTAAATATGTTGCTGAATTACATGAGTTTGAATTTGAATTTGTTTTGCTATATTTTGGAGTTTGCCCAAAAAGGCCGCTCCCTGGAAAAAGGATTTTGTAAGATTGTGCAAGTTAAGTAAAGCGGAAAATGAACTGAGATCGGCAAAACGTCACTAGGACTCTTAGATATGCTATCAGCCGGATTTTTTTAATCTTTCAACGAGTAGTGATATTAAGATGGTCAGGAACAAAGCAATACGACGACGAGAATCCAAGGCAATGAGATAGAATTTTAAATTAAATTTAGCGAAATTCAATACTAATATTTCGCCCCAGCATACTGGGCTTCTCTTGAAACTTACTCGGGTAGTTGCTCTAGTTAGGTCTCATAGGTCCTACTGGACAGGACACCCAAATCAAATTTTAGTTTATGACAATGATTAGCTTTATAACAAGCTACCCTATTTTTAATCTTTGCTAATTCTTAGGGTTAATATTCAAACAAAAATAGCTATTTTTTTGCAAATTTATACATCGTCAAATCACATCAACTGTCTGAGTTTTTCCATGTGTCTGTCAGCTAAATTAGTAAAAAAAACCTGTTGCTTATCAACAACTACCTAAACATTAAAGTAATGTTTAATTAACTTGATATGCTGAAACAAATTTGAATTTGAGAAAATTTGAAATAATTATTGTCCATCCAATATGGCATAAGGTTTTTTTTCTTCGACACAAACAATAACTGTCTTACTATGAATGCCAGTACAAGTCCCTTCGAGTAGCCCCAGAATGGATAAAATAAAGAATGGGCCAAATTGAATTAGGGTAATCTGACATAAAAAGACTCTACATTAATTGACAAAATTGTTGTTGAAAAAATATTGTTATTTGGTCATATACAAAATATTTTTATCAACAAAATTGGTCATAACAAGAATCTGAAGTCAAAAGCTACTTATATGTAAAAAATAGACATAAGAATATTCAACCAACAACAATATCCAACAACAACAATGTCAAGCATTGGATCATCAACATAGTCCAGAAGTATCTCTTCCCCATCTTCTGCATTGCGACTCTCAGCTTTAGTGTCACTACAAGCTGGAAAGCTTTGCATGGTTTCAAAAAACAATGTTAGCTGCCTTCGTTTAAAAGCCATCCTTGATTATAAACAGCACCAAAATTTGCCTAAAATTAATCATAAGCTAGGGCTTATAGTCAAATAAATATGGTAAGCTGTTTGTAGACACTGTCTATACCCTTTTATATAATGACACTGCATATGCAAGTAATTCAAGATAATTATTTCTTACAAAATCAATACAGCATTACATATAGCTAAATCTTTGGAGTTATGGCTGGAAGATTCATTAGAAGTCTGTCTTCCTTAACTCAATAATTAAGGAAGGCCCAGATCATGGTTTTTATTTCAACTGTTTTGGTTTTCTGACAAAAGTTTTAAAGCTCTTTTTTGCACTTCTTACAATTGATTGAGGAGGTTTGCATGTTAAAAGTGTGATCAGATGACTGTGCATATTGGAGGCATTGAAGAGCTTTGCTAGGTAGCATGTGGATATCAAAAGATCCGTAAATCAGAGCACCTTTAAATGTATGGGTGTTTTTAGGAGTGAATGAAAAGCAGTTTAGTTCAGTGTGTTAATCTTTTAAATTGTTCGAGGGTGAACACTGAAATCGATCTCCAGTTCCTTGGAAAACAATCCATTTGTAAACAATGCATTGCTGGATAAAACTCATTAATGATAGGTTTATCATATTTTGTGAAAGTTTTGTAATGTGAATCTTCCTGTGAGGTCTGGTGTATTACATCATCTTTTCAGCCATTTCCAAAAGCAATCTTTTTGTTTGGTTTTTATGCTTATTGGCAAAAGCTTGTGTCTGTTATGTCTCTGAATTCCAGCACATTTGTATAAGATTTTTCCTTTTATTTCATCTATGTACTGCTTCTGGGGATCTGAATAAGGCTGACTGTGACTCAACAAGAGAAATACCACAAAAGCTACAACCACATTCTAGAAATATTAACCTAGGCCTTACTTATAAAAAAAAATTGCCATGTAAAAATTCTTTTCAGAATTGTTTGTGGAAGAAGACAGAATTTCGTAGGTTACAATGTATCATTGAATCAGGGGCGGGTGGGAGCGGTATTAGCGTTATTAGTCTAATAGCAATTTTTTTTCAGCAAAGGCTCTCATAATCTACTGGTCATATATCTTTAAAATAAAACTAGCACTGGAAATCCTTGGCAAAAACAGTTTATTTGGACCGCTAACTTTTTTCCTGCCATTTTGCAATGATATGGCGTGATATGGCCATGGTAGAGCGAGCAGAAGCCGCTACTCTTGAAACTGATTAGATTCTTTCAAAAAAGACCTCCCTCCTATGCTTGTCGCGACACTTATTGTGACGCATTCATCTGGCGGCCTCAAACAAATACTACAGCCACAGCCCTGAAATTTTGCTATTAGGTTTGTGAATCCTAATAGCAACTTTCATATCCACCTTTGTTTGTGTCTCCTTGTGTGACGTAAAGTGGCCAATCATGCTGTTGTGAAAGACCCAATATATGCGGACTTGCTATTAGCCGGGTCACTTCTAATAGCAAGATTCCCCAGTTCACTCTTCCGTGCATGTGGTATATTGCGTTTAAAATAAATCATATGGCCGTTTCTAGTTTACGTTGGGTGTTTTAACGACATACTGACAGACAATCCTTTCTTCACAACAACAATAAACACACCAAAAGCGACTTCGTTTAAACATTTGAAAGATAGCGCTCTCTTATTATTTTGGTGAAGCGATATGTAGTTTATTCTCAGGCTGTTACGTTAGTTTCATCGAAAATCCAAATCTGCACTTGAATTGAATTGAAAAATATGGTGCTTTGGTTTTTTATGTTAACAATGAGCATTTATCAGAAATATTTGAGTATTTCAATGTACGATACTTGCCGATATGATTTTGCTATTAAAAGAGGGCCGTTAATAGCAACAAAAAAGAGGCTACGGCTACGGACAGAGAGCCTTTTCATCGTAAGCTGATGATATTCATCTGCGGCCCGCAGGCCGTCGAAGCCAAAGCCTACAGTCGTAATTGGAAGACTGAATTTGTAGACATGACTTCGGAACTGAAGATATATTCCAATAAAGGTTGTTTTAGTAGAAATTTGAAAGAATGTCTCTGAATTTTATTTAGAACTAAGAAACGTGCTGCAACTTTACAATATTTTTAGGATTAGTATCAAATTCAAAATTATAAGTCTGACAAGTCTGACAATGGGCCTGATTGCTCTAGAGATCAAATAACCTCCGACCGTGGCCATAGCCCTCCCCTCCCTGATTTTTTTTACTTTTCTCTTTATGACTATGAGAAAAAGAGCGTTACAATAGAAAATGGCAAGGTGTTTTCGACTTGCGGCCAAGAAAATCAAGATGTAACGATGAGGTAGAGCATAGAAAAAGACAGTGCAATATTGAAAACAACCATTGAAGAGGGTGTGGTTGGAAGTAAAAAACAGCGGCAGCCACGCCCTGATACCACGATTTTCTCTAATAGCAGTTTAAAATCTCTCCCAGCCGCCCCTGCATTGAATAGTAACATTTTCTACAGGCAAGCAGCATTGATCGGGCTACCTCAACAGGGAACCTTTTTCAGAGTAATCAACCAATTGCTAACTTCAAGTTGCACATTGTTCAATGACAATTTATTGTGATTTTATTTTCTGAAAGTTCCACCTAAGTTGTAAGTTTGTCTCTTGTTGATGTAATGATGATGCAATGGAAAAGGAAAGATCTAGACTTGGGAAGAAGTCAGCATGATATAGATATGTGAATGTGTAAACAATGGTAAAGGGAATGTCCTGTGCTAGGTGAGGCCGTGAATGACGTAAGTTGATGTCATGGTGATGGCATGATCGAGGAAGGAGAAATGTGGCCTATTTGACAATATTAAAATCACTACAAGTAAAGAAAATTTAGATCATTGACAGACAAGATACTGTAAGGTTAGATGCTGCTTTTGTTACTACTAATTATGGTTAAACACATTTATTTTGATTAGTTTGTTTTTCTTTCTCCTCATGCTGTGGATTTAAAATCATTTTCTCCTTATGGCCTGATTATATTATGAGAAGACCCAACAAAATTTTTTATGTTCTGAGAAAGTAATCTAAAAAGTTAGGTTTTATCTTTGTTCCATTAAACATTGTTGTCAATTGTTATCAGAAATATATCTTTTTTCTTTTGGATGAACTGAATTTATAGCTATTCTTTATTTTCTAATTTGTCTTTCAGTTACAATGAGAAAGTCTAGAGAAGAGTAGCATTGCTTAAGCAGAAATCTAAGGTGAGATGTCTTTTGGCAAATCTCTGGTAACTTTTGCTAACTTAGCAGTTGCAAAAATTCAAAATTTTTCTTAAACGCTTTGTGAGACAATGAGTCAGGCATCCATTGTGCTGAATATTTAGTACCATGAATCCATCTTTTTCTGTATTCAGAATCAAATACTGGTTTCATTGAGGTGGTCTAGTACGCTTTTTTTATAAGAACCAGTAAATTGAAATTCAGGCAGGTTGTTCTTAATTTTTCCAAAACCTTAAGGATGGGTTGTTCTCAATTTGTTCTTAAATTATAAGCATGTATGCAGCGAATTCGCCAACTATTTTGCTAAAAGGGAGTGTTCAGGCCCCATTTGCCAGCAAAGTGAGTTCTGAGGTTCTTGTTCACGCCCCATTTGCCAGCCCAAAGTGAGTGAGCCATCCTTCATTTGTCGATAAATTTGAAAATTCACTGACAAAGCATCCCTAGATGGCAGACAACTCTTCATTTTTGAGATGGAATTTGAAGTGAATTTCACAACTTTGTTCATAATCACATTTTACAGTAGCTCAGCCTCAGCTTGTTCTTAAATTGTTCTTAACCCTGGACCAATTCTGAGGCTCTTGTTCTTATCAAATTGTTCTTATAGAAAATGATGTAGTTATTTGCATCGAAATATTTACCTTACGAAGTATATTAAAACTTCGTTTACTGTCTGCCGTAAATCTAAGCCTGTCTGTTATGTCTTTTCTTGCAAAGGAACTTGGATAAAGTGGCTGATAGAGATTTTTTAAAACGTGCTCTTGTTTGCAAAGTATTACCATCTATATTGTAGATCCTATGTAGCGAGAGCGTAGAAAAAAGGAAAAACTTCGTTTTGAAAGAACATTTTTGTCTAAGTAGATTAAATCTCTTATTTTCTGTTCTATTTCTGTACGAAAAAGGGAAAAAAATTATAAATGGCTAAACGCCTCCTTTCGAATAAAAATTATGACACCAATTTCTGCATTATCCACATTCGCGGCCTAGCCTAGATTTCTATCCTAACTGCATAAAACCTTGTTTCCACACGCATTAAAACCTATGAAAAAATGAAGAGATATCTCCGCTTTCAAAAATATCCAGTTACTGGTGGACGTGGCACGCCTTTGATGAAAAAACAAGATGTTCTTTTGTCTATTTAGGTCACACAAATAATAAGCATAACAAAGAAAAATCAAACATTGTAATGAGATATTTGTTAGCGAAGAGAAGATATTTCTTAATCTCTTGCTAACATTCATTTAGACACGTAGTTGGAGCTGATTCAGTTTTCATGACAACAATTTTCTTTTTGCGGTATGTACGCCCTCCATTCTAGCATAAAGGCTTATTTCCACGAGGCGAATTGCGCATCGAATTCACTACGAATTCGTTTCGAAATTGCCTTTTGATTTCCATGAGACTGCGAATTCGCCGCGAAATTATATATTGATTTCCCCCAAAACTCAACTTTAAGGCACTCATTTTCAGAACTGCACGCATGGCGAATGTTCCAAGATTGTTTTCTTACAAATCAAGCAAATTCACCATGCTTTGACTGGTTATTAAGTGCTGCGGAATATTTCGCCGCGAAAAAGTAGAATTCTTTTCTACTTTATTGCGAGTTCGCTGCGAAATCGAAAATCAAAACTGCGCATTTCTTGATGCATTCATCAGCCTTAACTATGATTTAGTGAACTTATAATTTAATCACGTGATCGATTGTTCGAGTTCTGGTCTCTGTGTATATGGATTACTGTAGCAACCGTGCAAAATGTCTGCCCGGCCTGTTCCCGCTAAAGCATACTCACCTTGCCACCATTTCTTTTAGAATATGTACTCGCCCCAATATAATATTATACTATTTCGGATTTGGTCAGGAGACTGCAAATAAAATTGACTGATTTTCAAGACTCGTCTGTGACTAGCAATACCAATGTTTTTTTTAAAAAAGATGTTATTTACCAAGGATTCATATTTTTTTCTCGCTAGAAAACTTGATATTACAAGTAGCGTAAGAATTAAAAGTTTGAAACACGCAGAGATGGATTCCATTGTCGTTGTAACTACAGATTACCAGATAACTAAGAACTAAGAAGTTTTAAATCTTATGCTGAGTTAGGCCATTGAAAGCTGACTTTTACCTTAAAGGTTGGTTTGACTTTTAGCGCCAAAGTGTAAATTGGAGCAATTTACCTTTCCAGATATTTATTTCTTAAAATTTTAGGCTTTTTTAAATTTGTTATTCTAAATTGTGAGGGTTTGTCGTTGCAGAATACTGAAGGCAGAAACCAAATTTTAAGACAATGGTCTTTTGTTCTTAAATAATGAACAAATGAGACGTCATCTTGTCAAAACAATAGGCTTGCCCTCCCCCCAACCCAGTGATTGACCAGTGTCTGTCAAATTCAAACTCAAAACTCAAAATCTTTATCAGCAAAAACAAATGTTGATTACAATATACCAAGAATTAAAAATTAGAATACAAAAGTTAGCATTTTCAAAAATTTAATTAATTAATTACATCAGATAAATTGGTTTTGTTATGCTGAAGGACACATGAGAAAAACTCGCGAGGAGCTATCGAGTCATATGTCCTAGTGACATATTTAAACTCAAGATTATAATTTCCATTTCAGTTTGAAGTAGTCTGTCACTGCAGGAACTCTCAACAATGCTGAGGTTATTTGCAGGAATTCGATTGCTCTCAACATAAAGTGATCATAAACAATTCTATAATGATGACATTATTTTTCGTATCTATACTCAAACTTTTTTATTATAACAGGCTAAGGCAGCACCCATGCATGGTCAAAAGGAAACAACCGCCGCCATGATTGGCCACACGGACACACAAATTTGGTCAAAAAAGACATTTTTCGCTTTTCTAATTGCACTGCAGATTTCTATTATACTTTTCATCCAACTGAGAGTTAGCAGCAAATATAAAGACAATGCTGGAAATTTTTATCGAGAGCCAAAGTACTCTTCGCTCTGTAAAAACCATTCTCAATCAAAAACGCTGTCCAGTTGCAAAAGCCCGGAACGACTTTTTCGATTCCTGGATGAGCATCCTATTTATTCCACGTTCAAGATACCAAATCCGAAATCAAAAACTGACGTCAACTTGCTGATTATTGTGTCATCTGCTCCCCTACGAATTGACCGAAGATCGGGCATTAGAGATACGTGGTGGAGGTTTTGCAAGAGCAGTCCCAGGGTATGCTATATATTTCTTCTTCGTGCATGTTTCTTATGATTGAAGAGGGGTTTTATGGAACATGAGCTCGGGGAGGGGGGGGGTACCTTAACATGTTTGAAGATATGGGAACGTGCCATTATTTAGGGATACTTTTTTCTGTTTAGGGATAAATATAGGTACCATTTGAAGAAACATGAAAAATTATGAGTGCCATTTTGTGGAAATATTGCAAAATTATTAAGAGGAAGATTTAGCATTACCAAAATGAATATCCAGTTAGAAATAAAAGTATGAAATATGTGTGATATTGAAATTTTGGGGCATAGGACATGCAAAATCTGGTTAATGATTTTTTATGTGCTTTAAAAATTTTATTTGCTCTGCAGAATAATGGGTATAGTTTTCATCGTGTTTGCAGAATTATGGGTCACATTTTTTCAGACATTTGCGGAATTATGGGTCCAAAATTTTAACCAAAATAACCAAAATTTTAACCGAACAATGTCCCCGTCCAAAATTCAGCATATTTTACCCCCCGAGAACTAGAGCCTGCAGACTTATTACAGGATTCAATGACCCCCGCGATCTTGATGACGCAACAGTTTAATGTCGTCTGCGCTAAAATGCGCGGTGACTTAAAGTTCAGGAGATTTTCCTTAGTAAAGAATTTTAATAAGCTCTTTGAACCCTGCGGAATGAACAATCCAGACAAGACCCTTAGATAGAGCTCATCTTGCTAGAGATTGATGTTCCCTGTTCCCTCCCATTGTTCATTTTCCCCACTTAAGGTTTCCACTCAAGCAAAGCATGTAAGCAGCACTCGATACAAACGTCTTATTCAGGACACACGTTGATAGTAGCATAACATGTTGAGGTGTAAAATCCTGTATAAAGATTCGTATAAAGATCATGATAAGCTGATAGCGAAATGGTAGTGTCACATCGCATCTCGTAGTGTTGTTCGTTCTGTCAGTTCGATAAAGAACTGTACAATGGAACACGCGAAAAAGCCCTCTTTCTGAAAAATAAAATATTTTATTTATTAAAAGCAGAAAATAGTACCACGCAAGTCCTCAAATAAGCCCTGTGTCTTTATTTTGCAAAAAAATTGGAAGGGGGGCTTGTCCAAATATGAAAGGGGGGGCGGCATTTTTGAGGAGGGCTTATTAAATTGTATGGTAGATTTACAAAACAGTCAAGATAATACAACATTAAAAGCTGATATCGCTAAAACATCACCTTCAAATTTTTGATGTCAGCTTCATCATCATCAGAACAATCTGCATCACCTAGCAATTTTGATGATGCATCAAGGTCAACATGTTCTAGAGACATTAAATGGATCCTCAGTCAAGGGGACTCCTTCGAGAGGGGAGTACTTATTTGCTAAAAGTAATTCTCAGGGTTGGGAAAATATTCCATAGTAGGGGTTTAATCGAGGGCTTACGGCAATTTCAATTAATCAGTGCTACTGTCAAACCCATGTATATTTGTTGTCTGTCCATAGATAACAGTCAAGTGTATCTTCATGACCGATAGTCCAAATCCGTCGACGGAAGTGGGCAAGAATTTGCTCGAGGAAAAGGAGACCTACCAGGATCTTGCGTTTCAAACACTGCACGGCGGAGTTGAATTTGGAAAAAGGTTCCTGTACCACATGCTGTGGGCAAAGAAGAATTACAATTTTGATTATTTCATGAGAATGGATGATGATTACTTCTTTTGTTTAGATAGGTTCTTACTTGAAATCCCAATGCCAGTGAGAAAATTATATCACTGGGGATTTGTTCATTGCCTACCGAGAATTGTTAGACCAGAAGAAAGTATTATTCTTCTTTCACATGATCTTGTCGAAAAATTTCTAGACCAAGATTCGAACTGCATGATGGGGCATCCATGGGCTGACCAAATGATTGCAACATGGGTCCAAGACCTTAACTTGTCAGCTCTTTATAATCACGATAAACGACTTCACCACAGTCCTGTGCTGAAACACTTGAAGAATATTCCTAAAATGTTCAAAGATGTTTGTAACAATTTCATAGGGGTGCATGGAAGCTATCCTAAGTACATGAGGTTACTTTGGACGCTGAGAAGAAAGAATAAAAAACACGTTGGAAGTTTAGACAAGTATTCGGTTAAGTGCAATTTCCCGCAAGTGTTTGATTGGAGAGAGTTTTCTAACATTTGGAAATACGAACCTAAAAGGTTGATTGACAACCCTACTTGGGACACAAGCAAACAAAATGGCAACAAAGCTGAATATGGTGGGAGGCAGGAAGATCAAGGGTAGTTTGAGGACATAACATGAAAGTTCAAACGTGCATTACAATTATTAACTCCGTTACAAAAAGCTTTTTAACTATGTCAATTTGTAAATAAACTCAACGTACCAATGCCACACAAGTTTAGAAATGCCGTTGGTCTAGAATTTTCGATGAGGGATTGTATGGCTAAGACATTACATATTTCCTTTCAAGCCCTCTGTAAACCACCAACTCCTAGGTATCTTAGCTGTAGATGTTAGAAAAATAGCTTTTAGATCATATACGCAATTTGCTAACAGATTTTGTTTCCACAGTATTTTGAAAATAGCTTCGGTAGAGCGTAGACGTGAATGAAACTCCATATCGTCGATTTTATCTTTAAATATATACAAAACGTGACTATATACAACTTTAACGTAAACGTAACTTGTTAGCCCATCATAAACTTGTAGCGTGACTTTATCGTACCTTCACTTCTTCAAAAAACTTAACCTTAAAATATAGGGCGTGAACACAACACGTAATGTTAAGTTTTTTGAAGTAGTGTAGTTATGATAAAGTCACGCTACAAGTTTATTGCTGACAATAGTCTATTGCAATTTTTTTAGGAAACCTTTAAAAAACCGAGCCCTAAGATGACAAAAAACTAAGAATGACAATATTACTGATAAAGCCCACCAAAGGGGGCAGGTTGTCCACGTTTCCGAGCTGAGAAGGGCCCAAAATGTTATGAAAAAGCGCCTAACAATAACAGTAACAATAACCATCAAAGTGTTAATTATGTCGTCACAGGCGTCATCTTTCTTTTTGCCCTAGGCCCCAGAAAGCTCTCAGCGGGCTCTTGTAAAGATGAGTTAGCAAGGATTATTTTCAATAAACCACCTATTTTATGATGTTATGTCTTACGACACGTTTTAAGTTTTTGTGTTTCTGAAACGTAACATGTATGTTGGAAGCGTAACATCCAACTGAAGTATGGTTTTAAATACTTTTTATTTTAGAACCTTTACGTAGTTATAGGAAGCACTAAAAAGGACAATTTAAGCAATTTAAGAAATGTGCATTTCATTTACTGAGTTCATTATTTATCTAAATTTTTATGCTCGTACAAAGAAATTATACAATGGGGCTTGCCGTTCTTGGATGTATCGTTTTGAAGTTCTCGTTCCCTTGGTATTTTAACAGGTTATGAAATAATCTTGATTTGTTAACTTTAAATTTAGACGAAACTCTGTTTGGCTCTGCCTTGTTTACAGATTGTGGAATTTAGTTTCAAGTGTATTCATTTTCAGAACGTGGAAATTTCGAAGAAAAAATGCTTCTGATCAGTGCAGGCTCGTGCCCAAAAATTTAGTGTTTTTTATTTTAATGAACACTATGATATTTTATCTACATAGATAAATATGTGTGAATTTTTTTTGCCAAAAACGTCAAGAACACGGGTCATATCATTTTGGTCAACCTACTTGCTGCATTCTTCCTTCAAAGGGCAACAAGCCTTAAGAAGCCATCTCGGCTATCTGGCTTTCACCAAACAACCCATTCTAAAGCCCCGGCCAAACGACTCGATTTTTCACTCGATTTTTTTGGCGGTTCCTGCATTAAACGAACGAACATGGTCTCATTTCGCTTGCGTTCGTCAAGAGATTGTGAAAGGATATTTGCACGTTAGATAAACACGGCAACCGATTTGCGTCTCTTTGCCTTCATTTTGTTGGCGTGAGTGAAAAGTCGAGTGAAAAATCGAGCGAAAGATCGAATCGTTTGGCCACCCATGCTCGGCTGCGCTCGATTTTGAGATCAAATGTCGAGAGAAAAATCGAGCGAAAAATCGAATCGTTTGGCCAAGGCTTAATTTGTTTGTAAAATCCCAAAAATGTGCAAAAGTGTTTCTCACCCATTCTCCACACGCCGCGTGACGACATCTTCAAGACCATCAATCCTCCAAATGTTCTCCTCCAAGAGGATCTTTTAACATAACAACTAGAGAGGAATTCCCCCACCAGGCCCTTAAATTTTCCCTGAAGCTGGCCCATGATCCCCCACTAGCAAGTGCCCTTTTGTTGAAAATTGTTTAAAAAACAAGTTTGACGTGTCTCCAGCTACTGCTTATCATGCTGTTGTCGTTTTATGTATGTGTCAAATTATGTGTATAACATCTCTTGTCTCATCGCAAATCTAATGTAAATCTCTGACTTTGTTTGATTTTCTTGCAATTCACCAAAGCGAGGTAATGAAATTCGCGACGGAAAAATTCTAAATCGAATGCTTTGACATTTTTGCTTGCGTCATTGTCCTGCAAACATGCTAAGATCTGAACGCTCGTTACTCAACATTGCACGGAACATCGCCCAACATTTGTACAGTGATGTTTAGAGATGTTTAATGATGTTGAATTCGGGTGTTAAAACGCTAGCCGACATACAGGGCTTCGTCAGAGTAAAAAGCATACTCTCTTTGCTTTTGTTTCTGCCGTCAGTTGCGTCACACTAATAGAAATGCCCCTGTGACAATTCCCCACCAGTGAAAATTCCTTAAAAGGTCCCCTTTACCGGTGTCCACTCTTCGCACTGAATACAAATTTACCAATTCAGCGTCCGGTTTTCCATACGAATATTGCAAACCTGTGTCATTTGTGGATAGATGTGTGGCCAGAAGTGAATGGAGCATTTTTTTCTTTCACAGTTGACTTTTTCTTAAGTTCCAATATGAGGCAAATCGCGGTTGCAATGAAACGAGAACCAAAATACACTTTCTCTGAGGTGAGGGGCCGCACCCTAACCTTTAAGTCAAAGCATGCAGGCCAGGACTCTGCTCAGCCATAACCGACATTCATCAATTTCTATAATTATAGAATTGTGTCTTGATATTTGCGTACTAGAAACGCGCTCTCTCGGTTCTTAATTTACCCTTGTCTTTTTATTTGAACTGGATAACAAGAAAGGAACTTCCAAAACATGAATTTATGTGCAACATCCAGAACTCAGTAGAGCACGTATCTTTTAATGATTGCAGAAAAACTGTTGCTTGTACTTAGTCACAAAACATATGCCTGCCTGTCTTCCACTCATGCCTGTTTTCCAGACATGCACTAGCCCCCGTTTTAGGGTCATTGCACATGCGCATTATCACTTATTAAGTTCAACAGTTATGAGGTCGCAGGCAGAACCGTTGTGCGAATACTGTTATTAATGCGCATGAGCGATGACCCTGCAACACTGCCGGTATTGTTTCGAAACACAGGACTGAAGACTTTGTCTTCCGAGTAAAAAAGCTTTTTCGTGTTGTCAGTTTTCAATCAGACGATACCAGGAGCGTCGTGCCCGGAGGTGTGTGGGGGGTGTCACACACCCCCCCCCCCAATAGTATCTCAATAGGAAATTTCAGGTAAAATCCGTGCAGTGGAAGAAACGCTTTAGGTATTTCAGAGACCTTCATGTCATAAAATCAATAAAGGATCAAGCAAAGGCAGTTTCTCCGTTGGTTAAATATGATTTTCCTTCATATGAATGAAGGTAACAAACTAATGATTTGAAGATTTGAAGATTACTTGTTAGCAATAAATCTAGAAATCCAGACCCTTTTTAGGTAAAATTGTGCCTTGTGTCCATTTCTTCTTAAGTTTCTCAGTAGAAGCGTCCACTGCAATTTACTATGAGCTCCAGATTTTTCTTAACATTCAAAAGGCATGCTTGGATGGAGAGAGGGATCTAAATTTAGAAGTAACTGACAACCTGGTATTTTTCAAGACCACGGCGAAATTGTTGTTTTTATCTGCTGTAAAAAATTTTTGCAAAAAAACAATAATTGTCAATAGGATTAGAAGGATTGCATTAGTGAAATTTGCCTAAAAGAGTGCATTTTCCAGGGAACTAGAAGCATCAAAATTCGAAAATTTCCTGCTCCTTCGGCGGCAACAATTGTTGCCGCCTCAGGTAGTAACTATAACCTTTGCCCGTTCCGATATAGAGATTTGACAAGACTATTAGGAAAGTCCGTTATTATCATACAGAGTTAGATTGACAAAATGTATTGCAGAGGTTTGTGACAGCAGCTAAAAAAATTCAGGCAAAAATATTTTAATCAGGTAAATTTGTAGTCCACACCCCCCAACGAGGTTTGCCTCGCGACAGCCCTGGACGATACCATGGGATAAAGTATAGAAATTCGTCAGTGATGCTCTTTCTTTGCAGAAAAAAGATAGTAGAGGAGCAAGCAAGAATTTTTTAAGCTTGATTGAATGAAATTTAATCACGTTCAATATGTGCAAGGGTACGCCTTTTCGGTGCCCCTTGGGCTTTTTTTGGAACAGATGTACGATTTTGGAATTTGTGTTTATTGAAGGGGTGCTTGAGTAAGCATAACATTGTGTCTTTATACGTGCAAGTGTGCATTGGCGTGCGAGTGTGTAATGGCCTTGAGTATATAAACTTTTATGTTGGCATAGTTTCTTCCTCACACGTTACAAGACAACCTGAAGTTGCACCAGTGGCGGAATGGCTCAGAATTTTTAACTGGCAATGAAGAACTGAGCAGGGCCCTGGTGGGTGTGTTCTGAAAATTATTTCCTACTTGCTTGAATAGAGCTTGAATAGAGAATAGAGCTTACTTGGTTTACTTCCTACTTGCAAGAAAGAAAGCAGCTCTGCAAGGTAAATTCCACCTCCTCCAGGATAAACGACGGAATTTGTAGTGTCCCCCAGGGGTGCTGTCTTGGCCCACTTCTGTTCCTTATTTACATAAATGATCTATCATTCTGCCTAAACAAAGGAAAGTTCACCATGTACACTGATGATACTGCCATTTCACACTCCTTGAGATGCCTTTCTAAATTGCAGGATGATCTAACCCAGGATCTTGTGAATTTACAGAACTGACTAGATGGAAATAAATTGTCTCTAAACGTTGTAAAAACACAGACTTTGATTATTGGATCTAGACCAAATATTCAAAGCATCGAAAAACAGACTGAAGCTAAGCCTAGTTTCGAAATAGGTGAACAAAAGATCAATATGATAACCGATACTAAGTATCTGCGAGTTCAAATTGATGCCAAATTCTAATGGGATCGCCATATTGAACAAGTCAAGGCTAAGGCACTACGAGCTCTCGGTCTTATTAAGTATGCCAAGAAATTTCTTCCATTAGGGGTTTTGCAGAAAATTCATAGAGGAATTGATGAGCCACATTTCGGTTATTACTGCTCGCTTTGGTCCTCGGGTGCTCGGTCCTTATGATGCTCCTGCTGCTCCTAAATCTTGGCTGGCCCTCAATCAGAGATTTTATCAAAAAAGAAACAGCAACGCTGACCTATCAGGAATTGAACTCGCTTGCTCCTCAATATTTAGGGGAACTTTTCAGTAAATGCTCAGAGGGCGGTGTTCGCAATCTTCGCTCTACTGAAACAAACTTGCAGATACCTCTTTAAAGAACATGCACAGGCCACAAAGCATTTTCATATCGCGGAGCAAAATTATGAAATGAGCTTAATCAGGAAACTAAATTGGCACCGTCCTTTGCTACCTTTAAAAAATCCATATGAGAGGTACATTTTATTTTTATATTTAGTTCTGTTATGCTCTTTTGATTCTAACTTACTGTACATTGTAATTCTCTTTAATTTAGGCTTTTCTGTTTTTGCACAGGTCGATTTGTAAAACAGTTATTTTTTTATTACTGAAATCTGTGCGCCTGTATAAATATTTAAAAATCAAATCAAATCAAAGTACTGAATAACAATGTAAACACCGGTAGTCGCTTTGTGTAGGTTTGTCCCAACTGTTGTGTAGGTTTCCACAAGGACCAGACCCAGCAAATTACTCGGTTCGACCTTGTGATTTCACGTTTCGACACTGGTATTCACTCTTACACACCGGCGACGTATTTTCGACATTGGGGTGTACAGTTTGAATACTGTGATCTGATATTTTTACGTGGGCCTTATTCTCTACTTTGGGATACAATTTCTCCGCACTGGGAACTAATTTTTCACAATGTAGTCGAATATCCATAGCTAGTGAAAAGCCAGAAAAAGCATCACTAAGCTAACCTGTGGCTATTCAGTTAAATTTCCGCAATATTTAGCATGTTAATCGGAAATATCAATGAATCGTCTGCAGCACTAGTAAAATATTCATCATCATCATCATCATTACATTTACATGTAACAACCCTTTTGGGTCAGACAAATGTCTGCCCAGTCAACTACAACATTAAAATTTACTGAGGTGATTTCGACATAGGTTGTAAAAGGTATCCGAATTTGCCTGCATGGCAGGCTATTGCATACAGAATCGATTGAATAAAAAAATGAAAACCTAACAGCATCAACCCTTCCGAATTTAGGCATGATCTTCAATGAGTTAGAGTTCCTTGTCATTGAACAAGTTGCAGGGGAAAAGAAAACGTTAGGGTCCAAAGCAACCTGATTTGTAAACATTCTATGAACATATTTCAGTTGGAATAGTAATCTACGTGATTCAAGTGAGTCCCATTTCAGTTATTGCAATCAAACTGTCACGCTAGATCTCTGACGGTACTCTCTCATAACAAAACGAGCTCCGTTTCTTTGGACCTTTTCGATTCGTTCTTTCAGTTCATTAGTATACGGTGACCACACTTCGCATGCGCATTCAAGGTGAGGGCGCACCAGCGTGAAGTAAAGTTTTTCACGCACCTGGCGTGGACCTCTAGAAAAGTTTCCCCGAATCAAACCAAGAGATCTATTCGCCTTTTCCACTATTTGATCAACAGTCTTATTCCAGCGTAAATTTTTGCTAATATAAATTCCTAAATATTTATAAGATTGAATTTTTTCAATAGGTACCTCAGAGATGCGGTATTTATTTTGAATGGTACTCCTTTTTAGCGTAATTATCATAGAATTGCATTTGCTAACATTAAATGCCATATTCCAACAATGGCTCCATGCACAAAGCTTGTTTAAATCGTTTTGCAATGTTTCCGCGTCATCTAGAGTTTCGATTCTTCCATAAAGAGCACAGTCGTCAGCAAAAAGACTTATGTCAGAAGAAACGTCGTTAACAATGTCATTTATGAATATTAGAAAAAGTATGGGGCCCAGGACAGATTCTTGTGGAACACCCGAGAGCACGTGACAAGAGGACGATTTTTCTCCATCCATTACGACTTTTTGAGTTCTACCACCAAGAAAACCTTTAATCCACAGAAGAATTTGTCCCCGTATACCGTAACTTTGTAGTTTGAGTAATAATTTATCGTGAGAAACTTTATCAAAAGCCTTAG